TATATATATATATATAATAATAATAATAATAATAATAATAATTCTTATAGCTTACATATAAATATTTATGATAAGTCGTGTAATAAAACTCTTGGGAGCGGGAAATTTAGCGGTTGTTGGTAGAAATCGTTCGTCAAACTTAATAGAATCTTCGATCGAGGTTACGCGCACTACTAGCCGTGTGTCGACGTGGAAATTTGCTGAAAAACTATGCTACTAAAATCTTTTTTTATCTCTTTTTGAGTTTCATTGCAAAGTCATATTAAAATTCTGCTTTATTTATAATTGAGCATCTGTGAAAAGCTTGAAAGTAATAGATTTATTTTTGTTTTGTTTTTTTTTTGTTTTGTTTTTGTTTGTTTGTTTGTTGGAAAATGCCGTGAAAATGCCGTGAAAAATGCCGTGAAAAATGCCGTGAAAATGCTGGTGACTCGTAGTAAATAAGACCTAATAAGACATCTCAAATAAACCACTCTTTCTTCTGCACTTGATGGCCCGTCGTCGAATTGACGACTGCCGAGTCCGGGTCGAGGGCGATCTCCGCGCCTTTGTCCTCTTGCGTGAGGTACTCACCCTTATGCCTCGACACATATCTGCCGATCAGCACCATCATAATGGCTAAGGCGACGAGGATCACGGCAAGCACGCTACCGAGTACGGCCGTGTCCGTGTCGTTGTAAGCGGCGCGCACCTTGTTCTCGTCGATGTCCGGCGGCGGTCTCGTCTCCTGGAAATTAGGCGGATGCGTGATCGGCTCGACGCCGCAAAAGTCCTCGGTCAGCTGGCCGCCCAGGGATCGCACATTGCCCGGGCCGTTCTCCTGGAACAGTAGCTTTAACGGATAAATGTCGTCGAATTCAACCCTCGAGACGCATCCGGTGAAGCCCTCGGTCATCGACTCGTTCTTCCCGATGTACATGTACTGGATGTTATTAAACTGGGCGTCGGCCGAGGCTTTAATATTGAAGTGAAATTCCTTGGGCTCGTAATTGTCGACTTGGATAAGTAGAGTGGCGCCGGAATTTTTCCTG